ATCACCAAAACCACTTATTTATTTTCCGATTTTGAATTTGTGTTAAATTTCTGAAGAGCTGTTCAAGAGAATCGGCTCTCCTTAGTGAGCTGGATGGGTTTGATCTGCTCAGCCAAATGAGCTGTTTTCCCCAAGTCCAAACATTCATCTCGGTAGACACTTTAGCAACCATATCGAATTGGTTTTACAAAACCACCCAAACCATCGGCCACCAATAATTTCTACAAAAGAGTTGACTTATGAAATTCACTATATTCTAAAACAATATTCGAATCGACGACCCAGCGAATCGGACAAAATATTATCGTAGTCCTACATCAATAATGCGATCTAGCTTTTTTTTTCAAGAAGGCCATTGTAGGATTCTGCATGACGCTAGTTTTCCTGTTTCATCCGTTTCATCCATCCATTTCTTGTTCTTCCTCTTCCTATATACTTCATCTCCCTACACATTCGTCGATTTGATCCTCCTTCTACAGTGACTGACATTCTGACATGGGTAATGCTACTTCTTCATCTGAATCCGAGCCCTCCTGCAATGCTCTCCGACCTTGCAAAGGAAACACTGGTTTTCCAGTCCGTCATATAATGACCCTTATTACCGATGTCACTTCACTGTGAAGTGACAACTTATCACTCACGGTGAAGTGATTCCCATTTGATTTACACGGCAATCACTTCACCGTGAGTGACAACTGGTCACTTCACTTCGTTTTCACCGTGAAGTGACACCCGTAATGAGGGTCAATATCTTCCCCTGTGACCCCTGTGTACCTCATTTTCCGTGTCGAGGCTCGATACTTTCGTATATATTCCCAGATGGTACGATTGATCTTGTTGTTGCTCCAAAATCGCAACTGATTGAGATCCGATACCTCCGGCGGTACGTCAAATACGCGGATCCGCACGTAGCAAAGCTGCTAAGATATTCGAATACTGAAGTATCGTACAACCCGTTCCAGAGCTGTCCAATGTTGTTGTCCAGGTTGAAGTTGGAATCTCCGGCCTTGTGGATATCATCACGTACATCTGGCTTCCCAATAATTCACGGTACGGTTCTTGAACACCTTCGGCCACTTGACGATCCAATTTCAATCCTTTCTCCATTGGCGTCTTTGTTGCATTGCACTCCGCCATGCCGAACTTCTGCAAGATCTTTTCCAGGCAGGTTTCTTGAGACAGCATCATTCTACCATTTTGTTGATCGTACCGTATTTTCATCCCAAGAGAGTGAGTCAACTCTCCACAATCGGTCATTTCAAACCTCGCCGACAGTTTGCGTTTCAGCTTCATTATGGTGGTCAGCTGCATACCTGCTATCAGAAGATCATCGACATACAGCACGATGAAAACAACGTCTTTTCCCCTCTTGTCGATACGGGTGTATAGGCAATAGTCGTGCTTGGAACGTGTGAAACCTAGCTTCAGCAGCGCTGGATTGAATTTTTCTTTCCAACAACGAGGAGACTGCTTTAGACCATACAACGATTTCTGTAACTGGCACACCAACCCAGGGTTTGCCTTGACGCCATCCGGAACAGCCATGAAGATGCTCTCTTGCAGCTCACCATGATGGAACGGGAGTCCCAATACGAATCGTCGTCAACTTCGCAACGGATGCATATGTTTCATTGTAGTCCAGGCCAGCCTTCTGCAAGAAACCTTTGACTACCAGTCTTGCCTTGCATCGCACACGGTTTCCTTCTTCATCCTCTTTCACGCGAAAGACCCACTTCGACTGCAAGGGCTTGATACCGGCAGGGCATTCCACCGTCGTCCACACCTTATTCTCCTCAAGAGATTTTAACTGCGGTCATCCAGAGCTGTCGATCTTCTCGATCTTCGATTTCGGCGTACGATTCCGGGGGATCTGGGAGAGTTGAAATTTTACCAGCAGATGTTGCTCTAAACCAAGTAAAGAAGCCAAGTAAATTACCTGGGAGTCTGCGCTCCCGTTCACTGCGCCTAGTGTTAGACTCTGAATAGTCATCACCTCTATGTTGTGAAGGGAGCGCCCGAGGGTTTTCGGATAGAGCTTCTTCATCCAGGTCAACGCTGCTTTCCGTATCCGGATCGACTTCATATTCGGTTTCGCTTTCGATAACAGCTACTGCTTCTTGTTCGGTCGACGAATTGTCCCCCTCTGGCGGAAACAACATGGGAATCACTAAGAGAACCTTTGTGCCTTCATCTTCTTCATTTGCGTATGGTAAAGAAGCTTCATCGAACTTGATGTCACGAGAGATGAATACTTTTCTTGCTTTTCTGTTCCATAAGCAGTAGCCATTTGGAGCATAGCAAATCATGACCGCCTCCCGACTCTTGTTGTCCAACTTCTTCCTCAGCTGGCTTGGAACCCACGAAAACACTTTACGTCCAAAGGTATGCAGCTTGGAGAGATCAGGTTTCGAACCTGTCCAGTGCTCAGCAGGTGTACGATTATCCGACAAAGCAGCATTAGGACACCGGTTCAACAAGTACGTTCCAGTAAGTGCTGCCTTCAACCACATGAATTTTGGCATATTTGAGTCGATAAGCATGGTTCTCACCTTTTCTACTAGGGTTCGGTTGAACCGTTCAGCCACGCCGTTTTGTTGAGGCGAGTATGCAACGGTTGGCTGAATTTGAATTCCCTTTCGTTTGTAGTACGCTTTATGTTCTCCGGAGCAATACTCACGTCCCTGGTCGACAGTTAGCTTGCAAATTCGTTTCTCAAACTGGGTGGTTACCATGGCTTCATACTCTTGAAAATGTACGAAGACTTCGGACTTTCTCTTCATCAGGTAGATGCACGTAATATGGCTGCAGTCATCTATATAGGAGACGAAATATCTCGATCCATCCCAAGCCGGCGGATCGATTGGTCCGCACGCATCTGAATGTATCCGCTCTAGCAATCGTCTGGCTCGCTCACGAGTTCCGTTGAAGGGTTCTCTGCACTGCTTTCCAAGCACACATGTGCCACAGAATCCAATTGAATCAACTTTTGGGCCAAGACCTTCCACCGTATTGTGTCGAACTAACGTATTAATTGTGGTCTGACTGGCGTGACCCAAACACGATGCCAGAGATTGCTGACCTCCGCTGCGCAGAGACTTGCTGTAGGTCCTACCACGTCCAGATCTAACTCCAACTCGTAGAGATTTCCTCGCAACTGTGCCACACCGATCGCCGCATCACCTTGCTTCATCAGCGCCTGATGTTTTCCGCCGCGGCTTGTGAACAACACCTCAATCCCGGCTTGGGACATCTTCTTGACAGAAAGCAGGTTGCCTCGCAGCTACTCTGGAACGAAAATTACATTTTTCATCTGGAACAGAATACCTTCTTTGGAAATCCCCTTGACTGCGCCTTCATATTTCCCAACAATCGACACACCATCTTTGGCCACATTTGATTTGTACGGCAATCACGGCTCTTATTATGAGTATCACTTCTTTATCACCGTGTAGTGACACCCGTATTAAGGCCCCTGGTTCACCATGAACGAAACTGCTTTGCTTCCAACCGCTGCGTTGACGTTACCATCGGTCTTCTTGACACGACAATCTTTCATCATGTGGCCAGTTTTGCCACATCGATGACACTTTCCGTTGAACTTTGCTTCTTATTTCTGCCTCCAACAAACGCTGCTGCCTTGTCTTCGCTCGAATCTTCCATCCTATCAGACCGCTTGGATTCTTCAGCCAGTAACCGCTGTTTCACAGTGAGGTCGTTCTCGTTGATATTCTCTAGAGCCGTTACAAATAAGTCGTAGCTATCGGGAAGGGTGAGAAATAATTGCGATACCATGTCATTCTCTTCGACCTTCGCACCTGCCGATTTGAGTTGGCGTATGATATCGTCGAACTGTTGAAAATGATGCCGTATCGAAGTTCCTTCTTTTATACGGAGCCTGGCCTACTGCTTCCGCAAAAGGTCTAACTTGCTACAGACTTCTTCGCATATGTATCTTCCGCCCCGTACTATGCCTAGACATTCATCAGAAAGGAATCAAACTAGCAAGGACTTCACTTTCCGATCTAACTGCAAAAACTTCGCCCCTCCCTGGTCCGATTCATCGGGAACTGGCTTGGTTAATACGTCCGAAACTTCTGCCGCATCCAGGTACAGTTGAACTCGAAACCGCCAATTCTTGAAGATCGTTTCATTCACCTGCGGAATTCCGGAGCCTTCCTTCGTAGACGAGCCCATAACCTGAAGGAACTACGTGGACAGGAGGGGCAATAATGAACAGGCCGAGAAGAATGAAAGAATGTTTTATTAAAGCAAACTTGAATTGCTCACATCGAGCTCTTGAATTGAAATAAAAGCGAAAAATAACAAGAGTGACCAGGTCAGGTAATCCAATGACTACTTTGATTTCAAATACTGAACTGTGCGTTTCTCAGAATTATGCTGTAGTGACGTCTGCATATGCTACTTCTTGAAATTGAAGTACAGATATCTTCCAACTGTCATCGCTGAGTTTCCCCATCAAAAATTTAACCCTTTAAAACAAATTAACTCTTAAATTTACAAATAGAGACAAATTAGCTTTAGTGAAGATAGAACAAATCCTTGTTGAAAAAGTTTTGGTTCTAATTGTTTTCTCCTGTTAAAAATCCTGCTGTAAATAGTACGCTAGAATCACACTTCGCACACACACCATAACACAATTTGAGTTTGTTTTAGTTGTTAGTTTTCACATACACTACACACGATCTATTACTGTTTGCAATTACACAGTCGTCCAAGATCATCAAATACTGCCACACACCGGGTATTTCTAACGATTTCTAACACACGAGTATATTTTTCTATCGCACGCTGCATTTTCCGACTAACGAACATAACAATGTCCTGCAACAAACCGTAAAACCGTCGCGCTGTATTGTTTTGAAAACATGCCAACGCCTAAACTACTACCGCTTCATTTCGTGTGTGTGTCCGACTTGCTGCCTTCCTTCAAAACAATAAAAAAAAATACCAAAACCCTTCGATAACTCGAAAACTCCAAGATACTACAACCGCGAAGCTGTCGTCATAAGTGCCCTGCAGGTGGAGAAACACCCGCTGACCACCCCGGGCCCATACTCGACGCCCCCGCTGCCCCAGCGCCACTTCCACAACACGGCCATGGGTGTGGTTTCCGCCTTCCAGATGACCCCGGTGCTGAGCGGTCGCAGCGAGGTTTCCACCTCCCGCACCGGTAGTCCGATTCCGCGACCGGCCAGCTGTGCCAGCGGAAGCTATTACGGCCATGGAAGCTACTACGGCCATGGATCGCCGCGCAGCAACGGATTCGACATCCGGCACAACTCGCCGAAACCGCATTCATCGCCCAAGATGAGACTGAGGTTGTTTCGATAGTGATGTGTGCCTACTCCTGTTGTTTCTTTCTTTCCCCGGAAAGGAACCTTATAAATGTTCTTTTGTAGACAATCTGTAGATTGCTTTTAACCGGTTCTGTTCCACCAATCAGTTTATTACACCATTCGCGTGTGTATGTGTTTTCCCAGTAGTAGTGTTAATATTTGATTGATTTCTTTTTAAATTCATCAGTTTATTTGTTCATATTTCCCGTCTTTATTCCTACTAGCTGAGAAGTGCATGATCATAAGCCAGAACTTATTTGTTTTTACTTACCCCAAAAACCGAATGCAACGACGGAATGAACCTCCTGGATTGACGTTTTCATTTTTTGAAATCAACGCTTTTTTTTAGATATCTGAAGAGCTTCTTCCCGAAGGCAGATGAAGACTTGATTCTGGACGTGCTGGCCAATGCGGATAACAACGTACAAACAGCATCGCAACAGTTGATCAAATTGGGCTACGAAAAACGAGAGCAATCAGGCAATCAGCGGAGCTCGTCTCGCAAGGGCTCCGAAAAGGATGGCCCATCGCAGTCGGCTGCGGATGCCAAGCGGGCTGAATCGCAAACGCCTCCTGCCAAACCTAAGACCCACGAGGAAAAGAAGAAAAGTAAGTTACTTGAAAACCGTCCTCCTTAGCGCCGATTTAAATCCTCCGAATTCCTACAGTTAAGTCCCGGGTCCAATCCAAGTACAAAGACATTGCCGAGCGAATCATTTTGATGGCACTGGAGAGCGTCGACTATTCGGAAGATCGTGCCAAGCAAATTCTCAACATTGTGATCCAGGAAGACAGAGAAAAGAAGAAGAGCGTCAAAATTGACGCTCCTCATAAGCCGGAAGAAGACAAGGAGAATGCCCAAGCAGGTAGCACTACGCCAAGGTAAGTCCGATTGACGGTGTTAACTCGCTTTAAAACGCCTAAATGAAGGACTAATGAAGAAATACTACACAAAACAATCTACTCGAAATGCTTCAGAAGCACTAGTACTCAACATAGAACTGCATGCAACTGTTTCGTTACTCATTTTCAACACTATAGAACAATCATCAGACGTTTAATCATGACGATTTCTATACCGAAGGGCTTAAGTTTCGCTATTTATTTTCAAAATTCTTCTCTCCATTCTTTTCTTTTTATCGTTTTAATTCGAAAAAAAATCACCCACATGTCACCACGCGCAAAATCACGTGAATGCCAAAATGAAACAACTCAATGTGTATGTGTGTGCGTGCGTGCTTGAAAACAAACAATAGCCGCGCCAACAGCACATCATCCAACTACGTGCGCCCTCCGAAAAAGGGTAATCTAACCCCAGATGGTCATCCGAAAGCAACGACAATCGAAGGTGGCATCACCACTGGAGCAGCGGGCGTAGAAAACGAATCAACTGCGGCAGACAACGAGAATGCAACCGATGCTTCCATTGAAATCACCACTTCCACCAATTCCACTGCAATCATTAATGGTTTACCACAATCACCACCACAATCACCATCACAGCTGCAGCAACAACCACAATCTGGCACCAGCAACGGCAATCAAGCGCAAGCAACCGGAAGCACCGATTTGATCGACAGTAGCAATAGCAATAATGCAGCAGCAGCAGTCGCTTCCACTTCTTCCGCAAAGCCGCAATACCGAACTAGAGCCAAAACCGATCACGCAAAGTATGGTTTTGATGTTGTGTGGATAACATTTATTTATTGTTTTCGTTGTATGTGTACAGAAACTTGGTTGCATTGTGAATTCCTACTCTTTCCTCACATTCACCTCTTTGCAAAGCGTGCTGCATTTATTGTCGTGGTATACATGATCATGATCCATCCGCTATTTATCCTTTTGAGCGTAGTTGCAAATGAAACAGGCTTTGCGTTTTGCTTTATCGAATTCGGCTGGATCTTCAAGTAAGGCGGCTTTGCATGATGTCCGCAGATTGCCTTGTAGGTCGTCCTCAGTTTGCCGTATAAGTTGTCCGCGGCGCTTGTCTAGGAAGCTGCCCTTTGCCTGCCTTGGAATATGTGCTTAACGTCCCCATAGTCTCGAAGACTGTACTGAACTAGTCCAGAATACAGCCTTCAGATTACCGTCAAATCTGCTTGGAAACATGAAGGAACTAAAGATTTTAAATTGGCTCACTACTAGACTAGCCTATTGGTCCCAAGCAAGTCGATTAACGTACCCCATTCTAGTCAAAATTCTAGTACTACGCTATGTTTGTTTTGATTCGTTTGACAGATAACATGAGGGGCTCGTGGATTTTCCTATGTTTTGAGGGCTACATCGATTAGCTTGGGACCGAAGAGAGTACCAGAGCTGAGCCAAAAAGTTGAGCTCCAAGTGTGTCACAATTCGAACCAATAGTGTTGAGGCATGGTTCACAGTCTAAGGGGGTTATTCCGAAAGTCGAAGTGACTTTTGTCACTAGTGAAGTGAGAAAAGTCACGTCGTGGTGATGTGACCCTCCATTTGATTTGCACCACGACGTGACTTTTCTCACCTCACTAGTAACAAAAGTCACTTCGACTCTCGGAATAACCCCCTAAGATTCACACATGAAATGGATGTGGTCCACAATAAGTACTGAATCAAGTATGAGATTCATAATTATGACGTGTGGATTTTTTTGAGTGTAAGACAAAAATATGCGCCTGTGCAAATACAAACTGCTTATCACGAAAAATTACCAAACCTCTAATTGTTAAAGCCCTCTAGTTAAAGTATGGACGACTGTCACCACAAAACTGAAAGAGCTGTTCCAATCGTTCCAATCGAGCAAAGTGGTGCATTTTGACGGTTCGATTGGAACAACTTTTGACAGACGTCCATACTTTTACTGTAGGGCTTTAATAATTATGGCCTAACTCCTATTTGGACAAGAGTACATACTAGCACTCTTTAGCAGAGCCCCGGTTCTTATCAATTTGTACGATAAGACATTGTTCGATAAAGCAAACCAAGCCATTCGAATTTCCGATTGCAAAGAAAAGCTCACTCAGTAGTAACCACAAACTAACCATCTGAGCACCTATCACACGCTTCAGCACTGCCGTCGTTCTATCGTTCGTATTGACAAATTCCAATTGCAATTTACTAAACTTTTGTAATCACAGTTCCCTAAGGCCCCTGCCAGAGTAAATGCGAGATTACCAATAAAGAATTAAATCTTTTGTCCGTTCGGCTTCTCGCATTCACTCCGCCTGCCAGGGGCCTTAGATGTTAAAATTCGTTCCATTTCAAAAGATCCACCTTTCAAATGCAACGAGCTTGTACCTTGTTTTTTTGTTTTCGTTTACTCGCATTTGCTGCTCTCCCATCTATATGGTTAACTTGTATTTATTCTCGTTTCTCGATTCGACCCTTTCTTTTCTCTCTATTCTTGTTCTCTCCTGTGCTAAATAAAAACCCTGCATTACCTGTCCGGTTTGGTGTCGCAATGCATCGCCCCCTTTCGGTGTAATGTTAGGTATTCTATTTTTAGAAGCTCTTCGTCCGAGGACGATCTGGACGGTCCGTCGCAGCAGACCATCCCCGGAGACACGATGGCCGTCAATATCCCGCGGATCGCCAGCAAGGGTCCCAATGTGAAGCTGTTCAAGGGACCGAACGACGATCTGCTCCTGTGAGTTTCTTCTGATCCTACCATTTCCTACGCTAACATCTTAAATGATTCATTTATTTGCCGACAGAGCGGACTACGTCACGTGGAACGGTGCCAATCCGGATCTGGCCAAGGGTACGCAGAAGCTGGCACTCGGTCCGGACCGGTCGATTCGCTTGGACCGAAGCTACACGGCTCGCGGACCGAATTCAGACCTGTGCAAGGGTCCAGCCGCCGGTCTGGCCAAGGGAAGTATGTACGGGCAGCTCAACTGCTCCCTGGCGGCGGACGTCAGATGCAACTAGGGACGATTCCGGAGCCGATCGGCGTCGCCCCGGCTAACGAAACGCTATATTGTGTACCACTGAAATCCTATACCAAAAACCAAACGAATCTTTGGTCGTAACTTTTGATTGACATTGTTATTGTGGGTGGGTTACTACTATTCCTTCCCCTTTCGGGAGAGCAAGAGTGCAATACTTGAATCGACACCGAGCGAAAACGAGTTGTCTTAATCTACGTACTAACGCTAATATCTAACTTGTGTGAATATATTACGGAAAGGTGTTGTTTGACTACTTGGTGGGTATATCTACTTAACACGCGTTTGATCTTATTTTAAGGATAAAGTTTATTTTTTTACACTAAATATGATAAGGAAATATTATATACACAAGTAAGATGGGGTAGATGGGCATATAAAGGCAAGCTTCATGAAACCAATAGACGGCACTATAACAAACCGGAGTTGCGGTACACCTTGTCACTAATTAGCAGAACCGGGAAACTTATAGCATCAGTCAATTCCCTAACTTGTAGACTCTTAGGGATACAAATGTAGAAGGTTTCGATTTCACCTAACTATTTTTTTTGTTTTGCGAATAAGGTACTCTCGACTCTCGAGTAAGTTGACATTTTGACGACTGGCTTCAATTTCCTTTTCTAGTTCAATATTTTCATGTGCGCTGACCTGTAGATATCGAATTTAAAAGATGAAAATGATCCTTATTCCCTTAACGCAACACTCTCACTCATTCATGTATCCTGCACACCCCTAGTGGTGCATTGGGCCAACGCGAAAGATTCCCATCCTAGGCTAGACCTGGGCCCAGGTTAGATGTCTGTCGACTTCCTTTATTTCATTGTTGAACCCCTGAGTCTGCCTCTGCTGCGATGTCATGCCGTGTTCTAATCCAGCACTTGCTTGGAGATTTCATTTCCGCTCCTTCATAGTGTGTGGCCTAATCAGCGGAGACACGTTCTCGAATTTATGTTGACATTGGTTTCTGGTGACATCGACCATCGATGTCAACAGAAATTCGAGATCCAGTTGTGAGGTCACCAGATCTTCACTAAGGTGCCCTGCATCCAGTCGGCTGGAAACCTCGCGGTGTCCCAAATATTATTATTTATTTATCATCGTTTGCGACTCGTCGTATAGACTGAAATTTGCTACTTATAAACTAGAGATTACTACTAAACCTATTTTTAAAAACGGTTTTAGTCAAGTTCATTTTCAAGCACAGAAGGGGGTCATAGGGCTAGGTCTCCAGTAAAACATCACTGTCCATACAGCACAAGGGTAGAGGTAAAGATTTGGCACCACAGAATAATAATCACAGGGATCAATTGAATCCTGCTTAAGATGCCGGATAGGGAGGAATAGTTAGGCCTATTCTGCGCGGCGTGTGAGGTGAGGTGACAGTGAAGTGATGGTGAAGTGACAATTGTCACCTCGGGTGAGGTGAGTCTTCATGCAAATCACAAGGTGACAACTGTCACTTCACCATCACTTCACTGTCACCTCACCTCACACGCCGCGCAGAATAGGCTTAAGTGTTTCAAGTAGGGGATAGTCGGAGTAACAGCAGTATTAGCACAAACGAAGTGACAGACGACTAACTTGCGAAGAAATCAATTAAAATAATGTGGTTCGCTGTAATAGAATTTTCTTAGAAGCTTGTGCCATCATCCACCAGATGGGATAGTATTTTTGTTTTGGTTTTGCACAAAGCTGATTTTGTGTACAATGATTCTTTGACAGTGTGCAAAGAGTGTATCATTTTGTAATTTCCAGTTTTGAGTAGAGTGAAAGAGATAGAACCAATACATTCTAGTACAATTGGTGCAAATGTTAGTTCAATCCAGTAGTAGTGTTGCCATGTGGTACAATCCAGTAGTAAAGTGTTGCCATGTGGTACACTGAAAAATTGCAATAGCAGGTTAGTCAACAAAGTTTTCGAGCCGCTCCGTCTGTCACTTCGTTTGTGGTATAAGTAAAAGTTGGAAAGTAAACGTACAGAGGACCATGTTTTGCAATAGGGGAAATGACGGCTTCGGCATGACAGACTATTTTCGGCAACCCAAATTGAAACACTATTTTCACTGGATTTTCTTACGAAAACACTTCGCTGAATGCATGCAAACGATTCTTTATGCTTTCAGCTTCAATTTGACTATATTTTTACCACTGAGAAAAAGCAATCTAGCAGGGTTTTCTTGAAATGAAACACACGCACTACAAATTGTAGCTGATTTCGAGTTGCCGATAATAGAACCATAGAGGTAACTCTAAGACTAGTAGGTCCCGAAGAAAATCATTATTATTTTTGGCTCACTCAGTACCAGAACAACGGTCCCAAGCAATCCCATGCTATTTCACTCACCCCTGCATGTTCTGCATGAATCCACACACCCCTGATGTTATCTGTCAAACTTTCATAGCGAATCAAAACAAACATAGTGTAGTAATAGAATTTCAACTAGAATAGGGTACGTTAATCGTTTGCTTGGGACCAATAGGCTACTAAAGTGGTGAGCCAATTTAAAATCGTTAGTTTCGTATTGATTGTTGATAGAACAGCAGATTTACATGCAGTTCAAATGGAACGGTTGCCGAAGAAAAACTGGTTGCCGAAAATACTCGCTCTCACTAGAGAAGATTGGAGCTTTGTAAAAGCGTTTCAAAACAGTTTTTGACAATTCTTTTGACTGAAATTGGTAGAGCAGCTGGCAGCAAAAGATTGTAAACAAACCAATACTGCATATGTGTGCGTGCCATAGAGAAAAAGGCTATAGAAAGAAGGTCGCTGCTTGGGTTGCCGAGAATACGTAAATTCCCCTACCTGTAATTCTTGTTTTATGATTTCATTTACTTGTGTTATTGATTAGTTTAGTGATTGATAATGTACTTACATTTTGTTATCTACTTGGCTGCTAAAATCCGTAGGAAGGCTCCTCTTCGCTGTCCGGAGTCGAAAATCCGTCAAACTCCGATTGTACATCATCTTCCGTGGTTCCGTGCTCACGGAATCTTCCGAATCTTCATATTCAGACTCGATAAGTGCGTTGAATATTTTCTTTGTGGCCGTCTTGTATTCGCCACGGTTATATGCCAATTCACACCAATGCGCCGCTGTTGTGTTGCTTCTTTCGAAGTCCTGTTGGAGACTCGTTTTCCACGTGAACCAGGGTCGTCCTAGTTTCTTTTTTTTTTTCATACACGCGGTAATTGAGAGCTTTCCCTAATATTCCTTGGAATGTGTTCCTTACCACATGTCCAAAGTAGTTTAACCGCGCCACTCTAATTTTATTGTTGATCGTGTGGCTCCCCAGTTCTCTGATGTTGGGACTGCCTTCTTGCGCTTTGTGAGTCATTGATAACAGTTTGTGGCGGTTGTTCTGGGCTTTCATTGGTGAATGCCTTAGGACGCTGTCTTGCTTCAAAACTAAGAGCCCTTAGAGCTGCGAGCATGGTGGTTTCCATTCTACGGAGAGAATTTCCGTTGCTTTTGAGAACAGTCGCAACTTCCATTGAGTAAGTCACGATCGGAGTTAATATTCTTGAAATACTTGACGTTTTGAATGAAACATTGCCACAAGCTGTAGACCGAGTGCAGAATCTTTCCAAACGTGCAAATCCATAGAAATAAATCCAATTCAATAAAAGATTGATTTCCACTGCGACTAAATCCAGCATTCCTACTAAAATATCAAATGCTGTGCTTAATCATTTATTATTAGTACAGAACAATAAACAATGTACGGTGATGATTAATCTGTTAATATGCGGTGATGATTAATGGGTTCAAATGCACTTTTGGTAAGCATCAACACTAATCTGGCAACACTAGTGTGCATATTTCCAATGTGGTAAAGATCCAGGTCAGCCCTGGGGCCTGGTAGCCTAATTAAACTACCTCAAGGTTTTGTCAAAGCCCAGGGAAAAACGTTTTTAGTCAAGTTGAAATCAAATTCGTGTCAGACAACATTGACCAAGCGAAGACACGAATCGAAAGGGTTGTTGTAGCCGTAGTTTGTTCTGTGGAATGGGACTGCTATTAAAGCTGAGTTCCAAATCCGTCGGGTAGGAATGTTTAGCAGATTCTGTGCGAGAAGTCCAATGACATCAAAGACAAATAGCCGCTGCATCGTTTCTCGTATGACAGATAGTTGTTCCAATGCTATGAGCTCGCATCGGTCGGAATAAGAAGGAAGATTGGTCGGATCATTCCAGGGAAGTTGTCTCAGTGCAAAACGTAAGAACCGTTTCTGTACCCGTTCTATCATGAGAACATGAGCTACATAATAAGGGGACCAAATCGGAGCTGCGTACTCCAGAATTCTACGAGCCAACGAGCAGTAGAGCTTTTTTAAAGCGTGGATGTCGGTGTTACGCAGTAATTACAAACCACTCCACGGTGTCCGGCCCGTCTGTCAGCCTCTGGTGATGTGCCTTACCACAAAATGAACGTTTTTCGTTCCGTTTCTTGGTGTCACCCACCTTGATTACTGTATGTGTTGATGGGCCCGGCTGGAGCAAATATTGGCGCTCTATCTCTGCTTTAGTAGCTTCCTTTGTTCGACACTGGTTGATAACCATCTCAGACGTAAGGTTCTGTTCACCAATGAACCGCTTCTTCAGGTTCACGTCGAGGATTCCGGTGATGATTTTGTCACGCAGCATTTCGTCCTCCAATGCACCTAAATTGCAAGCTTTTAGGAGCTTTCGTGCTCTGTTTAAAAAGTGCGACATGCTTTCTTCTTTGTCGGTGTCACTGTAAGCACAGACAAACAGACGTAACACTTCATTGTGTATATTCGTTCACACATTTAACGGTTGATTTGAATATTATAAGTTCCACGAACTACTCGATGCAGCACTGGCATCGGATCACTTTGACGTTTCTATACATTCTATAGAACTTTAATGCAATATTGTTTGCGAGTTAGCGAGCAAGCTTGTTTTCCGCGAGAAGCCCGAGAGATGTCGTTACTGAGGTCCTAAGTTTTGAGATACTATGTAAAACTGTGCTGTAAGACTGCTGTTGGGTCACAGATTGAAAAATTTTCAGGCCTCCAAGCCGCGCACTGCCTTGAAAATTGGGTTTTTGACGTTTTCCTTCATGTTTCCGGTAAGCTTCAGTTGTTCCGGAAACAGAATATTGCTGTTAATTGCGGGTGCTGCCGCAATCGCTGCTGGAGCCGGATCCAAAATAGGAGCTGGATTCGGAGGCAGACTCATGTTCACTGCGATTATTCTTCCGCTGCTGTGGATGGAAACTTTCCTCCACCAAAAATACGTTCCGTTTCGCGAAAATACATAGGGGAAAAGTTCTCTTCGGCAATACCTTAACCTATTATCGTCAGGGGGGTAAACAACGTCCTTGAGAGCTCAATTTTGGCATGTGGATACATTTTGTTTCAGAGCAACTATTGGCCAAATTTGAGTGCTCTAGGACTTTGTTTACCCCCCTGACGATAATAGGTTAAGGTATTGCCGAAGCCTACTTTTCCCCTACTAATATTATGTTCGCGGTGACCGAAAATGTATAATTTTCCCTTATTTTACCGACCAAATTGCTAATTGCGTAGTAGTTTTTTTTATTCTGACACCATGTTCCGCAGGAGTAATGTAGTCAGTTGGACGGGTAAACAAAGACTAATTTTATTTATTCTGCAGGTGGATTGTTGAATTTTGAAAAACATACCGGTTTTTATACATCATCTGAAAGAGCTTTGTTTTCTGAGCACAAATATATTTTTATCGATCCCATAGACATTCATCTTGATTTGTAAACCAAGTTTTAAATTGTAAATAAATTGCATTCGATGGCATTAATATCCATTAAATGACAGTTCGCTCTATGGCGAGGGGCGCTAAAATGGTGATGCTTGAAAATGTAATCGCACTGATTTAACATAGTTACTGTGCACCAAAATTTATGAAATTTTGGATTTGGGTTCCATTTTTAATGTAGATTACGAATATGCAAAAATATGAATACCCCTAAACAGTCCCATTGAAGGGTGTTATGAATCAATTGGGTTCTTTAAGGGTATTGAGATAAATGCATATTCGTAATCTTCATTAAAAATGGAACCCAAACCCAAAATTTCATCAATTTTGGTACACTGGAACTTTTGTAAATAAGTACGATTACATTTGCAAAAATCACCTTATTTGCGCCCCTCGGTGTCACTTTGTATGGGAGCGAGCTGTCAGTGTGTCAGTTTAGTGTCAAACAGTGAAGTTATTATTTTGCTTTAAATCTTGATTTAAAAATCGAGATGAAAGCGTGTGGGCTCGAAAAAAATATCGCTATGCTCAGAAAACCGAAGCTTTTTCAGATGCTATCAGGCATAACATTTGATAACGGCACAAAAGCATTTGTAAACAAACCTTCTTAGGCTCTTTACACGCGAACCAAAGTACGCCCACGCAAACCAATAACATCATCGCATAGGGGCAACTATCACCTTTCTGTAAGTGGTATTGGTTTGCGTGTTCGTACTTTAGTTCGCGTGTAAAGGGCCTTAGAATGTTTATTTACAAATGCTTTTGTGCCGTTATCAAATGTTATGCCTGATATGTATATAATAACCGATATATTTTTCAAAATTAAAGAACCCAATTCATGAAAGCCAAGATAAATTATAATGATACGTGAAATCATTTCCATAACAGTCGGTGAACTCATAAGCATCAACAATCAATACGAAACTAACGATTTAAAATTGTCTTACTACTTGAATAGCCTATTGGTCCCAAGCAAATCGATTAACGTACCTCATTCTAGTACTACGCAATGTTTGTTTTGATTTGCTATGAAAGTTTGACAGATAAAATGAGGGTGATCGCGCACGGTATGACCCAATTTTCTACGTTGTGTTATAAAGATTAAAATACGATGATGATTTGGGCCGTCCTGCCATGGCGGAGGCAGACAATACTGTGTGTGTTTATTCATTGTATACATGACATGGTATCAATTACATTGCAATCTGGACAAATGACAGTAACAAACATAATTGAAAGATGACATCTGTTGGTAAGAGTATTAACTATTCCACGGTTCAGGATAAAGGCGGTAAATGTCGCTTGCGCGAACAGAGGGGTTCGTGGATTTTCCTATGTTTCGAGGGGTGCATCGATTAGCTTGGGACCGAAGATAGTACCAGAGCTAAGCCAAAAAGATGAGCGAATCAAAACAAACATAGTGTAGTACTGGAATTTCGACTAAAATGGGTCCCGTTAATCGATTTGCTTGGGACCAATAGGCTAGTCAAGTAGTGAGCTAATTTAAAATCGTTAGTTTCCACCGGTTGGCATGCTTGGCATGCTCAGTTGTACACACCAACTGCTCATTTGGTAATAACTTTTCACTCAGATGTTGAAATTTATTTTTCTTTAAAGTAATTGATAGATTAGGCTCATAGTTTACTGTAGATATGCGAAGATTAGGTAAAGCTTAACATTTGAATCAACACTAATCAATTTAACACTTAAATTCCGAGATGTGTAGTGAGCATTTCTCACCTCATTTTTACAACGTAAAAACAAATACAGTTTACAACTAGCATTAAAATCTACTTCTTTTTTACATATCTATAACAAGCTTACACTCTATTCTATCTACTCTACTGCTTCAAAAAGAACTATGTTCCGTCAACTGTGTGTAAAGTTATTAGCAAATGAGCAGTTCGTGACCAAAACTGTGTATGCCAAGCATGCCGCCCAACTAACAATTTTAGCTGCAGATTAGCTTATACAGCCGAAAATTGGCTTATACAGCTAATTTTTGCCTGTATAAGCAGTCTGCAACTAAAATTGTTTGTTGGGCGGTTGGTAGTACATTCCAGAATAGTACACGATAGATTTTAGGTCATGAGCGAATGAAAGCTTGAACGCAGGGTGCCTTCCATTCATTTTGCCTAAAAAAATGTTTCATTAAATTATAAACTAATAAGATATTATAATGATATTTTGTATGTGTACGTAACAAGAAAAGATTGTAATGTTTGTGTTTGACGCATAAAACCTGCAAATTTATCTTTGGCAGAGTCACAATGAGCGATTTTCTAATCGCCGCTTCGCGAAGAGTGGGTGAGATAAATGACAAAATCGCTTATTGCGACACTCTTGTAGCAAAATTGGCAGGTATTATGTGTCAAACACAAACTTCACAGTCTTTTCTTGTTGCTTACACAAACAAAATACTGCTATAATATCTTATTATTCCATAATTTAATAAAACTTTTTTTTTTTATTCAAAATGAATGGAAGGCACCCTGCTTGAACGTAGGTCATTTATAAAAATGTTGAATATTACTGGTCCCAGAACGCTACTTTGGGGTATATCAGACGTGATGTTGATAGTGTGGGATCGAGCCGAGTTGACCTTAATATATGCGGTACGATCGCACAAGCACGAATATATCCAATCTGAAAAACCTATGTGCTTCAGTTTCTCCACGACTAGAATGTGCGATACAGTGTCGAAGGCTTTCGCAAAGTAAACATACATCGCGTCAAAATGCCGCCTCTCTTCTATTTCGCGGGACAGTCCGATGACGTAATACACATGAGGTTCGTTGTTGTCGAATGATGCTTCATAAAGCCAAGCTAACCATCAAAGATGTTGGGAGACGCCACCTTGTATAGAACATTGTGCACCAGTCTTTCATACACACTTTGCTGAGGCAGCAAAGTATAGATACGCCGCGATAATTTGTCACCTGATTACATTTTCCAGACTTGAACGATGTAAGCAGCTTTTCAAGCCGTCGGAAAGGTTCTTTCATTAAGCGAGCAATTGGATTCGCTAGTTCGCTGGAACAGCTTTTCAGCAACAAGGGTCGAATACCGTCCGTCCCAGGTCCTTTTGTAATGTCAAGATCATCGATGACTTCTGCTACTTCTTATGTGGAAAACTGAATAACGGGTAGGTTGATTTGGTGCGATTGTATGTGAGTTCGATTTCGTGAGGCTCCTGAAAAGGTCACCACGAACAATGTGGGAAAACCACGTCCTGCCTTCGGCTGGTCTCCTTGCCAAGTCAGATGTGCTGGAGATATGTGAAATTGTAAGCTTTGAAGCATTTCACTGGTTCTCCTGCCGAGTCTCCGACCTGTGAACATATTTAGAGCTGGTCGTCCAGTTGCCAAAATGAAGCTCGGTCTTGACGGGAACATCTACGATCTATTACTGAAGTTCAAGGAATTTTCACAATTTACAATACCAATTGAGCAGAGGTTCGGAATCGTAGGTAGAGTAATATTATATTATTTACAAATTATAAACATTGAATGCATGGTTTAGAACTTCAGCAGGATTTCATGGGGTTACAGGTGCTGTACTTGTTTTTTTTTTCGTCTTCTAGTTTAAATGCATCAGCGTGTTATGAAAAGATCTGAAACAGAAACAGATATTGAACGGTTTTGTACCTCGCAGAATTAGTGAAGCCTTTAGTTACAATCACAAGCATAATAGCAAATGTTACGTGCATACAACCACAAACACATCAGCAATCTTGACGACAAAAAAAAACTGCTTCCAACGCAAATGCTGCTTCATCCAACTAAACCTACTTAAAAGCGCTCCTCCAAAGGGACGTGCAAGGAAGCTGCAAATTCGCCATACAACAGAAAATGCCTTTCTTTCCAAAGACACGCAACTCGAACGTGGTAGATTATATAATATACTGCGAATAATGTTCTAACTAGCAAGTTCTAAGTAGCAAGCAGAAGTAGAAAGATTCAACACATAAACAAAACACATACGTTGCAATTCACTGAGAAACCTTTTAGAGAAAATGAGGCAGTTATGTATTTTTATATGCGTAGAATAGATGACCACAATAAGAAACAAACCACTAATCGAACTTTCAAAAAACAATCTGATTAAATGATAAAAGTGTTAAATTACATGTGATAAACGTAAATCCAACTTGTTTTCACTTTCCCCACTTAGTACCGCAATTTACGTTGGATGAAAATAATGACATTCCATTCGGTAAACTAATTGGATCTGAATCGTTCAAAAATGACAAAAACTGTATTTAATTAAAGTTAAGAAAACGAAATGTACCTAATTCGTCCTAAAAGCACAGATTCAACCCTGAATCCGCCCCCCTCGTAGCGTAGTTTAACGATCACCAATCGATGCTATAAGCTATATTGAAAGGGGAATCAAAATCATACAATTGCGTCCGTCTCTACGAGTTAGAATCTCATGTTAGTCAAATTATAGCCATTTCTTACAAAAAAAAATAAACCCTTAAAAAGCAACTATTCCCCAAACCAAATGGCTTGGAGAAAAGCACTCACTTAAGTAATGAAACATGAACGTATAAAACTGCAAACAAAGATTCCAATAAAATAACGACATTCATTAATCGAAAAATCCCGCACTTACATTGTTGTTGTACATTCCGAAATTCTAGACCTCATCCTCGTTCAGCAGCATGTTGGGAATTCCGTCGCTGATGGGGAAAACTCGTCCCGTCTCGGGACATTCGAGCGTTCCCTCGACCACGTCCACCTCCATCAGGACGTGATGCAGCTTCTGCAGCGTTTCGGTGTCCGAAGCGATATCCTCCGGGACGGTGGCAGGCAGATCGGCACCCACCTACACGAAACGAAAATTAATTATTTTATTCATGTGTTTCACCTATACGTTTTTGCCACAACATCAGACTCATACATTCCGTAAGACAAACCACATACACGGCGAATGAGAACGACCCAAATTTGAGTTTAGTTCACTCATAATCGCCAAAAGTGCAGGAACTCATTTGTCTAATGGTTTCCTGTGGAAAAACCTAAAAAATCTGCCGGAAAATGAGGAAATTGACGAAAATTTTATTCAGTCCCGGAGTAGTACCAAAAGACTGAGTGTATCCAATCTTTACTTTTCTCAAATTCGGGATTTTTTCCCCGGAAAATCCTGGAAAAACCTGGGAAAACATGAGGCAAATTTACTCATCGCTGAGTTCCTGCACTTTTGGCGATTATGTGTGAACTAAACTCAAATTTGGGTTGTTCTCATTCGCCGTGTAGAATGCATAAACGGTATATGTGACTATTTCAGTGTCAACACTTCAAAGGGGCGTAATTGCTTTTGTAGACAATGGCTCTAGCCGTTGGTTTCTCGCGAATAAAAGATCACACATGAAAATTAATAACACCAACACTGCCGCTATTTGCATAACAGTCCCATGTCATGTGGATTTCCTATCTACATAGGACTGTTATGCGAATAGCGGCAGAACAGGTGGAGGACTGTTTCCTCTACCAGCTAGCATTGTTAATGCAATTACGTTCCTTCGAAATGTTGACACTGACATGATCTTCATTATTTTTTTGCAAGGCGTCTGCTTATTAGTTGACTTATACAAGTTATCAGGGGAATTATTTATATCCACGTTATAAAAAAAAAACACTTGAAAATGAATCACTGGACCATTCGACCCCGCGGTCCCCCTTGGGCACTCATACCAGGGTGTTGGTACCCGGAAAATTTCAGTAACTTACATGATTGGCCGCCAGTTTGATCGCTTCCCAGTCCAACCGGGGAATCATCCGGGAAATGAACTCCGAGTTGAAATCCGACGAGACGACCTTCTTTTCCACGATCTATTGAGGAAAACCCCGAAACAATCAAAACATTAAGGTTTCCTCTTTTTCGGTCGCATGAAGCTAACAGTACTTACGTTCAATTTTAACGGGTAGCCCACTTTGACCCCGCGGATGCACTTGGATGTGAGGAAATTGTACGTTAGGAGTTTCATTTTTGGTGGCTTTCAGTTAAAGATGTTGTATTCTTGCGAAATAATAATTTTATTGATTGAATTCGGAAGCGTGAGGTCTTGCGCCGAACTCAAGTTCTCAAGCACGATTTTTGGAAGGTAAACAAAAACGTGCGACACGATGAGAGCTGATGATGATTCCTGATGATGACAGCTTCTGAGTGTGCCCAGTGGGTGTATAGCATATCCATGGATTGCATTTTTGCTCATTTTTTTTTCTGATGGGAAATTTTAAACACTGTATTCCAATTCTACTCAGTGGCTGAGTAGAATTTTATTGCCTTTCTTTTCATCGCACGGAAATCTAAAATTGACGGCTGCTTGACCATAGACGAGTGCACGGATGGATTTTAGTTCACTCACTCGACAAAAAGTGACACAACAGCGGGGCCATATTTACTAAAAATGAACACATATGTGTTCATTTTTAGTAAACAGGGCTCCGCTGTTGTGTCACTTTTTGTCGAGTGAGTGAACTCAAATCCATCCGTGCACTCGTCTATCATCACAAATTTAAGCGCAGCAAATTATAGGGTTAACCACCCCATTTCCGGCCTATTAAGCACAACCCGCACATAGTCTTTCTTAATCTAGCGTAGTTTAGCACCAAACGGAATGTTATTATTACTGATGGCTTCCAAATTTATTTACCTTTCCGTATATGTACCGTAAGATTTGATAAAGAGAAACCAATCGTTGAGATATTGTCAAAAGTCTAACACTGCTTCTTGACCTAAAGCATTGAAACGCCAATGAATTCACTTCGGCCTATCGGATGAAGATAAAAAATTGGTTCGGTTGGAGCGCTTCTTTTGTTTTTGGGAATAATAGGTGCAAACCTTCATTTCACGCGTTCTCATTACGAAGTCCGTAACTTATTAACTAAAGCATCGTACCAAACGCATAATTGACTTGTTAACGAGTGTACCCCATTAGGCATAAATACGTTAGGCATACGGACGTTACGCATACGGACGTTAGGCATAATGGACGTTAGGCATAAAGTCATTAGGCATAATGGACGTTAGGCATAATATACGTTAGGCATAATGGACGTTAGGCATAAAATACATTGCTGCTGTGCAACTCTAGAAACCTGCTTAACCTGAAAACCTGTAAACAATGCTTAAATTAGGCTTAGCGTTGAATAAAAAATGATACAAGTTAAACAAACATAGTTTATTTAATAAGCACAGTTTGGAATCCATTATTTATCATATCATAAGTGACGTATCTACATATTTACTTAGATCCATGATTCGTAGCGATAGTGGTTAAGTAATCTTACAATGAAAACTCAGCTTAGTTTTGAACTATATCTTGAAATCAATCGCATCTAGAAATAAAAAAAATCACACATTTGTTGTAATCTATTCTTACACACATATTGCAAAAGTCAAAGAAGAAAAGGTTTTCCTCAAAGAACAGCTCATGAAATAAAGAATGGTGAATTCTGTGATTTTTCATTCAATAACAAAAAAACAGCCAAGGTTGAATAAAATATGATGCCAAAGAACAGCTCATGAAATCAAGAATGGTTAATTCTGTGGTTTTTCATTCAATAACAAAAAAACATACCTGCTGCTTCCAGGATTTTCTGCCATACTTTTCGATACAACGATTCTGATTTTGTTGTCATCAGAAAATAGCAAAAAAATAATTTTGATATCACGTCAAAGTGGATGCACTACAATCATGTCGAAAATATGGTGTAATATTACTTGCTAAAAAGGACAAAATTATCATTAATACAATGCATGAACTAACATTACGCTGCTTTTACTGCATTTGTTTATTTATGTGGTCATAAAAATTACATGAAATTTTCGACATGATTGTAGTGCACTTTGAAGTGATATCAAAATTATTTTTTTGCTGTGAATGAAAACTAGCGGAACAGTGACGAGTTGCCGAAACAAACAAGGAACTGTGGCAAACGTACCATCTGTAACCCAATACTTTGCCTGTCCAAGACGTCGTTCATGAGTTCCAAACATTAAGGCTCTTTCATTATTGTCACCGAAGTCAGCAATCAATAGACGGTCTCCATTATCATCCTTCTGAAATTCATCCGTCCATTATGCCTAACGTCCTTTATGCCCAACGTCCATTATGCCTATCGTACATTATGCCTAACGTCCGTATGCCTAACGACCGTATGCCTAACGTCGTGCACCCGTTCTCTACCCTATTACAGATTCACCAACACTCGTTCTAATCATAAGAATGTGACAGTTGGCATCAGGGCGTCACAATATCAGCTTCAATCGACCAAATCGATGCGACGAAGAGACTGCTGGGTTTCTTTTTTTGTTAAAGTCGAACAGCTTCGCAGCATTCTAGAGCCTCAGTCGGCGTGCACAAACAAATGTTCAATCGCTTGTCTCTCTTTCTCCCGTCGCTCCATTGGTCTTCCTTTCAAGCTTCGTCGAAACGGATGAGCGAAAGAGCGCTCGACTTTGATAGTTTTCTCTTTCATGAAACACATCAACAGAGGTTTCATGACGTATGTGACGGAAAATGAAATAACACATTTAAAGCATTTCTCACGTGAAAACACTTGAAGATTACATGTAATATTTTTAATTTATCTTCCATCCTTATATTTATCTAAAAAAAAAGGTCGAAAACGGGACATAACGCATTTTAAACAAATTGAAAGAGTGGCGATAGAGTGTTCGTGAAAGGGGATTGAAAGCCATAATGAAGTTCGTTTAACTAGAAAATCGACGTTATTTACATTGAAAGCGATGAGCAAAGCAACGACGAGAAGTTCCACAGCCAGCCTTTCCTTCTAAGCGTCCTGCTTTTTTATTTTCGTTTCTTGCTGATAGTCTAGCTAGGCGTTATAGAAATGAAGCGTCGAACACGTATGTACGAGAGCAACAAAACACGAGTTCATTTTAGAGCTTCGAAATTGTAGAGCCCTGGTTGGCATACTGTTACCTTTGAGTGACTTCAGTGGTGAAAAGTGAACATACTAGAGCCGTCCGTCTGAGTGATAGTAGAAGCTGCTTGTATATTATGAACGGGACATTTTGTCCATGCATCCGACATGGCGGCTATCTATGACCATCTGTGACCACCAAACTCTAGTTGATTAAAAGACGCGCAATACTCACTTGCGTTTCAAAAGGGTGTTTACTCAGTGACTGAGGAAGTTCCCTTATGAACTGTAACTGAGTAAAATTTTCGTGAGAGGAAAAGAGTTTTCAGCAATCAACCCAGTACTTTTATATTTAACTGAATTCCCAACTAACAATTTTCAAAATGTAAAAGCTTTACTCATTTCATTTATACAGTCTCAATTGAGCTTTATTCAAATGTTATACCACAGACAAACAAACAACACATTGAATATTTCTCACTGTAAAACATAGTCGCTAAAACATTACCGTCATCTGTTGAGTACACTGTGGTGGGCACTACGCTGAACAGATGGCTGTAGTGTGTAAACGTCAAGCACAAGGGAATTGACTATGCACGCCACAGGTGGTGATATTACCAAACTACGATACTTTTAAATTGTCCGGTAAATGCTTGTTCGATGAACAACTTTCGAGAGCTATATCTGTTTGTCTGTGGTTATACCGAGGGGGACGACTCTATCTACGATGCAGGAAATATTTTGTTTTGCTGTGGCTAGCTGCGCATACGCTGAGTAGATATAAAGAAGATTTATCACGATTTTGAAGATTTCCTGCAAAAAGATGATGCGCGATGCAAGTAAATGCGAGGTAAATGCGAGAAATTAAAGAAGATTTTTCGAAGATTTATTCGCTAGTGTGAGATTTTTTGACCATCTAGAATTGAGATTTAGATGTGTCGCCCCCCTCGGGTTATACTATGTGGGGCAACCTTTGCTCAGTCTCAAAATAAGTAAATCTGGTGAACTTAGGCAGCTTTATGACTGTTGGGATAAGCTCTTATGGCATATATGCATGATATATCCATGTTCGATTCTAAACAGCTGTTATCCTGCTGTTTAGTTGTATGCGAACTTGAAGCGCTTATTCAACCTTATCCCGGTTTTCCATTAGTCACTACACAGTTTTCTCTTGAAGCCGGAGTAAAAGCTGTAAAACTGCATAAGGCTAAAAACAAACCTAGTTGACTGCGGGGCGACACTTCTAAATCTCAATACTAGATGCTCGAAATATCTTACTCTAGCAAATCAATCTACGAAAAATCTTCTTTCTTTTCTCGCATCTACTTGCTTCATGTATCATCGTTCTGTAGGATGTATTCAGAATTTTCATCTGTCTTAACGCATCCAACCACAGCAAAACCATTTTTTCCTGCTTCATTGGTAGAGTCGCCCCCGTTGATTATACCATTGTATTGTAGACGCCCGTGAAGCATCATCCAACAATTGTCAACATATTCCATTGGTTCGAAAACGACAAGTTCTTCCAGGTTGTGATGGAAATCCATGGCTCTGGGATCCCTAATAAAAAATAACCATAAACGAACGATAACCCAAATCATTGAACTATTCCACAAATGGTTTGGATGATACCCAGAACACGTCGTTAAGCAAATTAACCATACAATTTTTATTAGGGATGGATCTGTTCCGAATTTATCGATCGGGTTGTTGGATCTTTCAACAGATTGCTAATGCGGTTGCTTTTCTGCACTCGTTGAACCTTCTGCACCGGGACATCAAAGACGAGAACGTTATCATCGGTAACAATTTCCATATCAAGCTGATTGTCTTCGGATCAGCGACGATCGTACAGGAAGGAAAACTTTTTCTACCTTCTACGGCACGACCGAGTACTGCAGTCCGAAAGTGTTGGTAAGCAACCGCTACTCCATCCCGGAACTGGAAATGTGGGCTCTCGGTGTGACACTGTACGTTAGACTGATGCAAAATTTGACTTTTTCGCTCCACAATACTTAAACGATTCCAAATCGGATCCTGACTAACCTCTCAAAATTTGAACCCATTTGGTGAGAAACTGAGATGGCACAAACCATTTGAAGTTTGTATGGGAATTACTATGGTAAAACCAAGATTTTTGTTCATGTCTATCTAATAATTCACAATATCGGTCTGCTTCCAAAGTTTTCAACTGTAGTTGTAGGAAATTTTCCCAGCTACAACTTTGCTCAATACCACTTTTTGATTAAATGCAAGGATCGAAAGTTATCAATGGTTCAATGCGCTGATGTCTTATGATCATGCAGGCAACATTGGTGTTTCTAAGGCGTTGAATAGTACACAAAAATCATGGCTACTATGTCACACTGCAAAATACAGTGTTGCCTACAGAGCAGCTGCTTGATCATGTCATAAGTTTACCAATCTCTTAAATAATTAATAACTTTTTCCTGTCTTGTTTTACATAGAAACAATCTTGAGCAAAGTTGTAGCTGAGAAAATTTTCTTTAAGAATGGCTATCGAACAGTTTCGCAGCTCAATATGGAAAAAGACTAGAAGGCAATGAACAAAAAGTTGAGATTTCCCATAGTAATTTATATGTAAACTTCAGATGGCTTGTGCGAAGTCTATTTCTAACCAAATGAGTTGTTACTTTGGGAGGTTAATCAGGACCTGATTTGAAACCATTTAAGCACTGTGGAGCAAAAAAGTCAAATTTTGCATCAGTCTACTGTACGTGTTGATGTTCTTCAAGAACCCATTCGTGGACGTTGAGGAAATACTGCAATCCGAACTGATCATTCCGCACGAAATTAGCGAAGAATTGGAGTACGTGTTGCTTTCGCAGTTGGACAAGAATACCAAAACTCGGATCACCATCCAGGAGCTACTGGAGACGGAATAGATGACGCAAGAAATTAATTCGTCACAATCCTGATGAATGTGGGCATCTTAGCGTATCCAGCATTTTACGATCGCTTATGGCCGCCACAATCTGGCTGAGTTTCTGGTAGGGAGCACAAGATTTGAAGTTTGGCTTGTGTCGTTTGACGTGTAAACGATCAAATTTGAACGTTTACCAGTCAAACGACACAACCCAAACGTCAAATCATATGTTCCCTACGAAAAACTTAGCCAGATTGTGGCGGCCATAAGCGCTCGTAAAATGCTGGATAACGAGAGTGAGAGAAGGATTAGTATTTTTTTCATTTAGTTCCACTATCTTATTTGCTTATCCTTGACAGATACGCGTATTTCGTCTACAATGTACAGACTTATTCAATGTCTTGTAGTCGAGTATTAGTACAAAACACTGAAGATGTCTGCACATTGTAGACGAAAAACGCGTATCTGTCAAGGATAAGCAAATAAAGTACAGTTGAAATTTGCTGGTTGGGCCACCACCTCGGCCCAACTAACGAATTCGATTCGTTTGTTGGGCCAACTGACAGAAGGGTGAAATTTCTTGAGGGGTGCACGTGCAGGGGTGCAAATTTATCTGAGGGAAATGTGCTGTGTGGAACGAGTCAGGTATACACCGACGTTGAGATTGTAACTGGTTTCGATGAATCAGTCTGCATGCAAGAAGAGTGGCTAAACGACACCGACGAGAGTGCTTCAGGCAACGTATCTGGATCTGGGCTAATGACAGTCGATGAGGAAACGACATCAAAGCGATGTTTCGGAGGTTACGCGACTCAAATCCTTGAGAACCGAAGCTGAGTGGCATAAGCGAAACCTGTAATGTGTGCAATTTTTATTATTTTTGTATGAATTTCAAATAAACATTCATTAAACACAATACGCAATGTAAAATGCATTTGCTCACCCCTAGAAATAATTGACGTTTGGTTGTCAACTTAAATTTGACAAGAGATTTTGACATCCAGTTGCTTTTTAATTGAGTCACCGCCCAACTAGCGGAGGCCCAACTAAAAAGCAGCCCAAGTATTGAGAAATCCAATTTAAACTCATGCGTGCCTGGTGGCAAGAATAAGCACTAACCGACGGTGATAAAGGGTGATACGGTCAAAATGTGGTCAAGGGAAAACGCGTGTAAATCGGTGAAATCGTTTATTTAAAAAATCAAATTAAATTTCTTTTTCAAGTTCAATTAGTATAAAATTCAGGAAAAATATTCAGTTAGGCTTCCGCTTTTCCAAATCCGAATTGCCGGGCCTTACGCTTGACCCCTGCCATCAGATTTTGTACAGCCACCTTGTCCACCTTCTTCGCCGCAGAAAGCCAGTTTGCCTTGAACTGCTGCTCGCCCTTAGCAGTTTTTTTGGTCTTCTTTAGGTTCCGCTTGACAATAGCCCAGTATTTCTCAATTGGGCGGAGCTCTGGCGTGTTGGGAGGGTTCTTGTCCTTGGGAACCACCTGCTCGTTGTTGGCGGCGTACCACTCCATGGCCTTTTTACCGTAATGGCAAGATGCCAAATCCGGCCAAAACAGTACGGAACAATCGTGTTTCTTCAGGAAAGGCAGCAGACGTTTATTCAAACACTCTTTCACGTAAATTTCTTGGTTGACAGTCCCGGAAGCTATGAAAATGCTGCTTTTCAAGCCACAGGTACAGATGGCTTGCCAAACCAGATATTTTTTTGCGAACTTTGACAGTTTCATGTGCTTAAAAACATCTGCTACCTTTCCCCTTCCTTTTGCCGTATAAAACTCCTGTCCCGGAAGCTGCTTGTAGTCGGCTTTGACGTAGGTTTCGTCGTCCATTACCACACAGTTAAACTTCGTCAGCATCGTCGTGTACAGCCTCCGGGATCGCGCTTTGGCCGTCGTATTTTGTTTATCATCGCGATTTGGAGTCACTACCTTCTTGTAAGTCGATAGTCCGGCTCGTTTTTTGGCTCGATGCACGGTTGTAGACGATACACCCAGCTTATTTGCGGCATCTCGGAGAGAGAGGTTAGGGTTTCGCTTGAAACTACCGGCAACTCTCTTTGTCGTCTCAGCGGCTTCCGGTTTTCGATTTCCCCCCGATCCAGACTTCCTGGCTGTCGACAAACGTTCCCCAAACACTTTAATTACATTTGTAACGGTTGATTTGGCAACTTTTAGCGATTTTGCCAACTTTGCGTGCGAGTAGCTCGGATTTTCGCGATGCGCGAGCAAAATTTTGATACGCTGCTCTTCTTGCTTGGACGGCATTTTGACAACTGAAGATTGAATTCCAAAATCAAAATAGGAGCAACATTCTACACACACACACCTTCAAAATGAGGGGTGTTCAGGTTTTTTAAATGCAAAATTGAAAGAAATACGTCAAGTTGATATTGACCAAATTTTGACCGTATCACCTTTTAAGTCTGTGACAGCCCTTGAAAATTTCATTGATTGTTTGCAAAATTATTTAATTTCAATGTAATTTCATGAAAATTTCTTGTCAGCATGGATGAATCTTGTACAAAATGCATAAAACTATTTTGTAATGCATTGTCCTTAAATAAAAAGCTACTTCAAGACTTATAAATTACTGAAAACATGTTAAGGTTTGAAATCATCTGCCGATTAAACAACAGACAAAGTTGGCCGACTAAATCAATCGACGAAAAACTATTAAATAGGCCGATTGCTCGGTGTAGCACCAGACGAAAAACGATTTAATCTGCTGATTAATACGCCGACTGAAATTAATTACAAGTGGCAATAGATTTAGTCGGTTGACGAATCGGGTGATTTGGATGATGTTTGTTTATTTGGAAGATATTTTCGAAATAAAACACTTTAAAATCCAGCATTTCATACCATTATTAAGAGCACTACTTTTTTGCTCGGATCATGCTTTGACTTCCACAGAAACTCGCTAGAATAAATAGAAAATAATAGTTTTTTGGTTGAAATTTCAAAAATGTATTCAGTTTGACACATTATTTCGAACTTATCACCGCTGCGATTGCAGCGTCACGGTGGTCGATTGAAACATGGATTTGTCAATTAAAAGCCCAGCGAGTGAATTCCGACTGTAGTGCAATTAAATGGAAATTACTAATCCTTCTCTTTCTCTTTATAATTCGTCACAATTCAGTTTTGCCTAAATCCTCGCTGAAATCGTCCCTGCGAACCGTACGAAACCAATCCCTGCTTAGTCAATAATGTCAAACTCGTGCAGCTTCTGGTATTTCTCAACAAATTTCCAACATACGCTTGGTCTTGTATTTTTGCGGTTTAAACTGACAGGTGAGAAAGGTCAGTTTGAAATCTTGTGAGTCTGGACCAATGAGCTGGATTACCGAGGTGAAGCAATCGGTTAAGTTGTGTGAGTAAAACCCCTGTACGATACAAGCAATTAGTGACGTCACTACTTGCGTTTACGTTGATTTTTTGGTTTGCTAAACAACCATATTTCACGATCTGCTTCACCTCTCTCTGTACCTCATTGAGTCTGGACGACAAAGGAACCAGTCAAAACCACAGGAAAGGGGATGAGCCTTCGCTCTACTGACATAACTACTAATTACTGACGAAAATTTTGACTTCCCCTGCCGGTAATGTTTGCATTTTGTATGAGAGACAAATGTCAACATCGCCCGCCAATTTTTTCTTCTTCAGGCAGTGACGTCACCGTGGATTTGTTGTGGGATATTTTTGATATCATTGTCGAAGTCCAAACGTGTCTTTGTACCAACGCTGGGCATCCACTGCAGTCAAACTGCATTTTGAATTCGAAAATTTCCCTTCTCTCGCTTTGAATTCACCACTGCCGGAGAGGTGCCAAACCAGAACCAGGTGAGATCGATAGCAAAACCTCACGGGATAAAAAGAGATGGCAGATTAGTGGTGAATGCCATTTCTGGTTCTCTGCTCACCACCGCCATCGCACGAGAAGAGACGAAAAGGGAACAGAAAAATCCCGTCGATTCGATTCACACCATCCATAATCGTGAAAAAACGAATCACCTTCTCCATCACGGTTCTCGAAGGCAGTGAAATGAAGTGCAATTTTTACGCTGAAAAACGGCGAGAAATTTGTTAAAAGTGTTGTAAGTGTAAAGTTACGGTCGTGCTGAATCGATTGGTGATATTTTTCGGTCCGGTCGCGACGTAATAGCAGTGGAAAAAGTGCTTTGAAAAAAGTGTCCATTCTTGGGTCTGCTGTCTGGTCGTCGTTCGTTCAAAACGAACGGCATGAATGGCTGCTGCTGCTTGCATCGAACCATCGCTACGTTCGAAAAAGAAAATTGACGGAGCATAATCTGAGCGGAAATCAAGGTACGGATCGATGGCACTGGGTGGAATGGGCTGGGAAAATTCTGCTCTTTCGATTGGACCGAATGATTTTCCGTTTCGATAGGGTTATCGGAGATGGTGCTCCTGAAGGAAAATCGAATCTCTCGTACCCAGTCAGGGTACATGGCAGAGGGATTTTAATCGATTTGCGTGAGCAGTGAGAGTGTGAGTGAGTTTGGTGCGGTCAGTCCGGTACGTACACAATCGAAGTGTTTTCATTTTCTGCTTTCCACAGATGGAAGGCTGTTCGATTGTGTGCGTGTGAAATCTTTCGGGAAGCAAAACTGACAGAAGAACCATCGAGCAAAAGAAAAACGGTTTTCGAACCTGATTTGCCGCGCGCGGTAGTGTTGGTGTGGGATTCCATTTTGTAAACAGAACGGTGTATTTGTGAATGAAACACTGTCGCAGACGTCGCAGAGTGCTACTGAACGTCTTGACAGATAGGGCAATGGAGTTTTTTTTTCGTAGTACCTTTCCAAAATATCCGCGAAAACCGTGAGTACACAATCGTAAACAGGCACAAGCAGAAGAGTAGAGTGGTGGGCTGATTGCTGCATACCAAGCAGTCAACGGAAAACGTCAGAGAGCCCACGGATAAGGCAATTTGGTTGGTCGTATACGCAATGTTCGCACGAAAGCAGAAAATGGGGGAGATAGAGCCACTTTACTTCTTGACTGAGCTTACGGTGGTGCTTCTTATATTTTTACTTTATTCCCCTGCTGCATGGCTACCATTTTCCTTCATGCCATCGTGTCGCCACCGTCGTCATCATCATCGTGTGATGGGTCGCGATAATATTTTCAGCGTTTGTGGCAGGTTTGTGGATTTCTAGCAAAAGTAACGGATGTGCGTTGTTTTCGGGAACGACCGTCTTAGCGTGGGACCCACATCAGATGATGTTGTTTACTGCATTTGGTTGGATAAACAATGTACGTACGGACTGACCTTGGCGGTTTTGTGCGTTTCGTTTATCGTGAAAACTAGGTAGGGCCACCAGCCAAGCGAACCCGTTAGATATTGCTTACATTTGGCGCTGATATTGCATCGAAAAGTGAAGTGATGAGATAAGCGAGCACACAAACTTCGGTTTCAACTTTTATACGTTTCGAGATACGAGGTATTCACCTACGGGTTTTAAAGGTTTAATGTCTGTATGGCACTGATAAATGATTAGAGAAAAACAATGCCGTTGTTATTAGTATGTGCAGACGTTGGTAACAGCCGACGGAAATAGGTCATTCAGAATTCGGTTTAAATTACCGAAACGATAAGAACAAAAAAAAAAAAAATATGAGAAAGGAAGAATATTTTCTAGAGCAATTTTGGAATGCGCTGTTCATAAACTACGTAGACACTCCTCTTGCGTAAAGAAGTATACCTTTTTCCGAGACCTAATTTTCCTTGGTTATAATGTACCACTTGCTGAGGACTATGATCCGAAAATTCCACTGTAGTGAAACTTGGCGGTTCAAAGTTGCGACACTGTTATTCAGGGAGAGTTCGTGGAACGGATGCCTGGAAGAAAGGTGATGGCAATCATCAGGCTACGATTGCTCTTCTTGTGAACGATGGCCAAAATCAATTAATTCGATGCTACAAGATGACGAAAGATATGTGGAATGAATTCAAGAATCATCATCAGAAGCTGACGATGACGACCAAGGTATTGCTCTTGAAGAAGTGTATAACGAAAACGGCGACACTGAAGGTCATGTGTTCCAAATGGATGAAAAACTGGATGCAAATCTGAAGGCAAGAATTCAGAAATCATTCGTCAATCTTACAACGACATTGGAGAGCCAGACTTAATGCCCATGGCGAAAGCAGAAGGTGAATTCCTCAGACAGACGAGAGAAAGGGAAGGGTCTCACCGAAACTAAATAAATTCTCCGACATCTCATCACTTAAACCTCGAACTGGAAAGGAAGACAATCAAACTTGGATTTTCACATAAAAGCAGACTGTGCAAATTATACGAAAAACCGTAAGTCCAGATTCGTATACCTTTACCTATTTGGCAGAGGTCCACTATGCTCGGGGGTTCTGTAAGTCCATTCTGGAAGCAATCTGCCAGTTCAGATCGGCCATATCACGTTTTTTGCCCAGGTCTCCAGTCCTCTGAAACTGGCGTCTACGCACATTTCTCAACCGAATCAATAATTGGGTGTCGAACGCATGTCACATCAGCCACGGATATGGCCTGTTGGAGTCCTTCCAACACCCGGTCGATGTCATCTATGGTGTCGAGCAGTGGATTTTCATCGATGTTGCTGTCCACCATTCGTCCGTACTGCACCCAGTTGACATGGTAGTAGTCTTTACGCAGGCAGCTTCTAGCAGGAACCACGTTGACACCGACTTCAGTCATCACCGGTTGATGGTCGGAGCTGAAATCGTTGTGCGCCTCCGGCTTTGATAGTCCGATGTTCGACAGGAAAAAATCCAGGCTGGAGGGATTTCCCGCCGGAGTGATAAAAGTTGGTTCGTCTGGAAACTGCACAGTGTACAGTCCATGTTGTGCGTGGTCGAACAACAGACATCCGTTCCGGTTCCTCTGGTAGTTCCTCCAAGCTGCATGGCGGGCATTCAGGTCGCCCCCAACGATGAATCGGGAGCTAGTACGGGTGATGGCGGTCAGGTCATTTTTGAATTGGATTCCTAGTCCGTTGCTTGCGGTACACTGGCGTGGGCAGTAAACAGCGATAAACCGGACATTGCCAATTGGTGATTCCACCTCCACACTAACGGCCTCGATGATAGAAGTGCGGATGTGGGTCAGAGTGCAGAAATTGATTCCCTTTCTGCCGATACACCCCCCCCTGGAGCTGGTGCGATCAAGCCGGATAATGTTGTGGTCAGGCAACCAGAAGCTGTCACCGGACTTTAGATGGGTCTCGGTTAGAAGACCCACGTCGATGCTGTGCTTGCGGAGGAAGTCGGCAAGCTCAATCTATCTTGCTTTTACAGAGCAAGCGTTCCAGGTAGCGATGGTTAGCGGTTTATACATCATACTGGATGATGAACTTACCGAGCAGTTGGATCTGTTTGGGCTTATTGCGGCACTTACGAAGAGCACCGGTCATGTTGATGAAAATCTCCATCAGTTCATCTGCTGAGAACAGATCGGGATTATTTGTTTGAGCTGTTGCTTGTCCCCAGAATCCAGTAAGGGGGGGGGGGGGGGCGGATAGCACCCATGAATTCGCTTGTCCATAAAGAGACGGAAAGTCCTCCGCCCTGAAAGCTGGGGCCTTATCCATCCTTCGTCCTGATTGATTGTTGGTGGACACCTGTTTTCGGATGCGCTTGAAATCCTCACGTTTAGGGTTAACTTAATCACGCTCCGGCGGGGATTTTTTATAGAACAGCACCGACCGTTTACTCGTTGCTGATAGGTCGACGTTTTCTTCTCCCTTTCGGCGGTAGGCGGAACAGATTCAACAGTGTAAAAGTTTGCTCTCATTTTTGCTGTGTTAACCGTGAGGTCAATCAAAATGAGATCAACTGGAGTATTCAAAATAAGTTACATCATAACAGGAAATTTTGTTTTCAATTTGATCTCCAGCTTTGCTCGGGATTCAGGGTCAGATAGAGAGCTATTGATCCTTCCGACGTTCTGAGAATACAGTAGCAAGTCTGCTGGAGCAGGTACAGTTTCAATTCGCCCTAGAGTCTAAGCAACTTGCGAAGTATGCCTAGATGGTGCAATAGAATATTGGCTGAAAACAATGAACGGATCAGGAGTCCTTGAATCGATAACAGAACTTGATTTGCCTATGGTGTCGAGTTGGAAGACTCCTTTTTCTTATTCTTTCTCGCATAACAAGCTTTTTGCATGCTCTCAACTTAGTGTTCTAGATGCACTTCCACAGTTATTAATTGAGGGCTTTCGATGCCTGTACCATTTTTGCATTAGTATAATTGTGTGGCAAGCACAATTATACTCTATGCCCAGGGAAGTCGAGAAATTTTCCAACCCTAAAAATTCCTAGACCGGACCGGGAATCGAACCCAGTCACCTCCAGCATGGTCTTGCTTTGTAGCTGTGCCTTTACCGACTGAGCTAAAGGAGGTGCAGGGAAGACTCCTGCACTACACCACACGCAAAATGGCTCGACTGCAATGGGAGGCACAAGGGCTTCTATGAGGCCAGTGTCCGGTTGACTTGTGATGGTTGATGAGGTAAGGCTGGCGGGAATTGGTTGCAACGAATCAGGAGTAATCGAGTACACTAAATCATCATACTTGCCTTCGACGTCGAGTTGCAAGACCCCTGTACCACCCCCACTGCGCTGAGAGGTACAAGGCTTCCATGACGGGTCACTGGCAGTTCTACAAAATACTGGTGGAAACAGCAACCAAGGATAGTAATCTTCTCCGATTCCGCCAGTTGCCTTACTTACTTTACTTTTCCTGGTCCGACGTCCATCAGGATTGCCCCTGCGTCACAATGTTACGCCAACTAACTCAGTTCGTGCTCCACTTGGTCTAACCACCTTCCTCGCTGTGTTCCTCTGCGTCTTTTACCGGCCGGATTCGAGGCAGAGACCATTTTTGCGGGATTGTTGTCCGGCAATCTTACAACGTGTCCCGCCCATCGTACCCGTCCAGCCTTCGCGACTTTCTGGATATTGAGTTCGCCATAGAGTTGCGCCAGCTCGTGGTTCATCCTTCTCCTCCATACACCGTTCTCACATACCCCGCCAAAGATGGTCGTCGTTCGAAAACACCCAGTGCTTGCAGGTCCTCCTCGAGCATCGTGCCCGTACATAACTACCGGTCTTATCAGCGTCTTGTACATGGTACATTTTAGTACGGAGGTGAAGTTTACCCGACCTCAGGGTCTTGTGGAGCCCGTAGTAAGCACGACTTCCGGCAATTATGCGTCTACGAATTTTTCGCCAATGATCCGAGGTACACAAATTCATCCACCACCTCGAACTCATCTCCGTCGATTGTCACGCTTCTGCCTATGCGA